CTCAAACAGCACTGTATGATACAATAGGTAGCCATAGCCACATTTGCCAAGTTGAATTCCAATTTCTGGGTCTCACAATAAACATACATAGCTGGAAGTTCCTACTGGACAACACAGATAGAGCATTTCCATCCCCACAGAAACGTCTCCCAGCAAGTGCTGCTCTAAAAAGCAACATGGTGCTCCAGTCTCAGAGGTGGTCCTCGGGTTTCTTAGAACACATTAACCTGCCTGTATATTAAAAAAATTTCAAGTAGTCATTACTCAAGCAGTATCATAATGTTCACCAGCAAGATTGGAGGCCAGCAAACGTGCAGAACATGCACACACATCCCCATATGAATTCGTGTACGTGCATGCACACATGTACACTTGAACACACAACAGACATCCATACATACACAAGATGTGCACACATGCCCCCACCCTCCACAAACACACCCATGCTTGCACAGACATGCACCACGAAGGTACACACACACACCAGCTCTGCATCCATGCACATGTGTGCTCATACAGACACAACAGACAGACACACACACACACACACACACACACACACGTGCACATCGGCTTGTGTACACACCCCGGCCTGTCTTCTATAACCACAGCATCAAAGGATAAAATGACTTTGCAATTTGGAAAATACATTTATGAAAGGAAACAACATTAAAATAATACAGACAGTTGTACCGTATCAAATTAGTAAAAAAAAATTGGAAAATACTTTCATGTTGGCATAAATGGGTATAATCTTCTGCAGGATAATTTAGTGATTGTTATAAAAAATTTACATGTGCTTAGTCCTTAAAATTTAAGAATTTCACTTCAATTAATTTATCCTCTGAAGAATAAATTTACTTCTATCTATGAAAGAGATCATACAGAATTACATAGGTAGAAGGAAATTTATTTTGTCTCTTTTTAAAAAATACAATTGATTACACTGTGTTTTAAAGATATATTCTTTAGGCAAATAAAATCTCAAAAGCAATTTTCACTTAAAAGTTAATGTTTTCTATTTCCCCCCCTAGAAAATTCATGGCTGTTTCAGGAATATAAAATTCAAATACATCCAAATGTAATGAGAAGACTGCTCTTCAGAGTGGAAAGTGTGGGATGACTCTGAACATAGCAACATGAATGTCCTCTTTGACAGCTAAGTTTCAGTGTGATGTAACTGATTGGACAGGCCAATGGAAGCAATGTAATAAGCACCAGTGGGGCACTGGTTAAATAAATTATGGCACATTATGATACTTATATAAAAGATTGGGACATTGCTGAATAGAAACAAACTGATTCCATCTAGCGATGTACATAAAACTACATAGAGAAGATACAAATGGGTGAGCTCGGAGAGAGGGGCAGGACGGATATCTGTGAGAACATTCACCTATTATGTGACAACATTTCCAGAAATTTTACTTTTTCTTTAGCCTCTAAATCACTTGAATTTTTTACAACCAAGTTAAAATAAATATTTTAAGTCTCTCCCCCCACCCTTTTTTAAAAACTAATGACAGTTTCCAGTAACAAGTATGTGAAACAGTGTGGCTCTGAGTGTCAACCCATGAACCTGGAGGTGATGGTTCAATTCCCGGTCAGTGCACATGCCCAGGTTTCCAGCTCAATCCCCAGTAGGAGGCACACAGGAGACAGCTAATCAATGATTCTCTCTCATCAATTATGTTTCTAACTCTCCCTCTCCCTTCCTCTCTCTGAAATCAATAAAAGCATATAAAAACATTTTTTAAAAGTGTGAAAAAGAACATGACTCAAATTTTCTTCAAAGTAAAATGCTAATCTGATATTCATAGGCTATTTTTCAATAACAATCTACTACATCCATAAAGTAACAGCTTAATTTTTTTTAGAAAGGCAAACATTCCAAAGAAATATCCTGGGTTCTGAGATTCTTGAGATTATGAAAACTGATAAAATTATGTTAAATTGAGAAAAATTCCAACCATTACCCTCTTAAAATATTTCATAGTCAGATATTTAAGATAAAGCTGCTTGAGCTGAAGTAACAACAGCTGATGGCTAAGTAGAGAGAACCTATTCTAAGTGACTTTTTAAAATGAATCCTTACATGTACTCTTATTATTTTTTAAAATTTATTTTCAATTAGGATTGACATGTTCAGTGACTTTTTCAATACTGAGGGGAAGAGATTATGTAAAAATGAATTAGTCTTCTGATCGCCATAATTTATTAGAAATGTTTTAAACTTAAATTTTAGGTAATAATGGTTGGGGTTCCATCTATTTGCTAAGCCTTCACTGAAATTTTGTTCTGGGCATCTATCTTCAAAATTCCTTATTAGCATACTAGTATCTAATTAGTCTATATTTTCCCAAACATTAATTAAAAAGAAAAACAGAAAAGACTGTTTTGCTGGTTTAGAACCACAGTTCTTAAATTGCAGTCTCTCAGTTCTCTTGGTCCACGAATATTTCAATCTGGTCAGTCACTCTCATGTTAGATTATAAAAAAATGGCTTCACGTTTTGATGCTTTGTTAAACAACAACAAAAATCAAGCAAAATATTTTACCTTAAGGATATTTAAAATTCCATTCAAATTTCAAGGCTATTATCACCTCTTCTCCCAGGAAAAGAAGATAACACTAACCTTTTCTTGAAAGTAATAATTAACAATTAAAGTACAATAATTCTAACATAGAAAAAACTACTTCTTTGGAAAGTTTAAAGCTGAAGTTAAAACTCACCACACCCAACCCAGAAAAAGGCCTTTTGAGCCTAACCAACTCACAGTTAGTTTATGAAACGAAAGTGTTAACAATTTCTTGTTGACTCATAGCTTCCTTTTCAGGAAGTGTAATTATACCACAACTAGAGGCCCGATGCACGAAGATTCGTGCAAGATGGGCCTTCCTTCCCCTGGCTGCCAGCACTGCCTTCGCTCTGGCCAGGAGCTGCCGTTCCACCTTCCCACACTACCAGGAGGCCCGGAGAAGCTGGGGCGATGTGGAATGCCTGCATCGTCACCATGGCGATGATGCAAGCGTCCCGTCCCACCTGGCCACCGGCCGCTCAGTGCCTGCGTATGCAAATTAACCCACCATCTTTGTTGGGTTGATTTGCATACTCACTCCTGATTGGTGAGTGTTGCGAAGGTACGGTCAATTTGCATCTTTCTCTTTTATTAGGGTAGATGTGAGACTATCTAGACTGACAAAGACAAGTAGAAACCAAGAGGGAAGAAAAGAAAAATAGGATGGGGTAAGCTGAGTTCCATTTTGGTTATCATGTTTCTGTGTGAGCCAGTAAAACTCTGAAATTTTTTTTAAAAAAATCATCTAATCAGTAAAGAGTAAAGCAAACACATAGAAAATGGAATCTGACAACTTGATGGTGAATTCTAATGGAAGAAATATTACACATTTTCTTCAGAGGTATAACTGTTCAATTTCCATTCTTCATGTAAGGAATATAAAACACATAATAAAGTTTAACACATCCTTAAAAATCCTAGTGTTACTGTTTAAATTCTTCACTATGAAAATAAGAACTAAATATTAAATATTAAAAAGCTATAGCTATAAAGACACAGGTATGTCCAGCATTGTACTTCTTAAACTCCTGATTCAGTATTTGGTCAGTGACCCCATCTCTTTTATATTTTTATACTGTAATGCTTTCTGTTCTTAAGATCTCATTATTCTTTACTTACTTTAAATTGTTATCAAAAAACAGGAATTAGTTTATAAAATGCACAAATCAGAATATGAATATTAAATGCAGTTCCCATACCACCAATTACAATAATTTTTTGTAGATACATAAATTCTTGGAAGACCTCAAAAAGAAGGTAATCTGCAACCTGAGGCTTTATACTAATATATTTCATCCTAGGGATTTATCACTGCTTATGTAGCATTTAGGCATTTTACTACATCATCATCACACATTATTTTTTAATGTTATCTCAATGGTCTTTTGTCTGCCTATGGAATATGCTGGTAGGATGTGGTACACTTAAAGTAATACAAAACCATAGGTACTAGGAAAGACTAGAATGTACACTATCTTTTGCTCATTATACTGGCAGAACATGTTTGGCTGAAAACAAAGAGAAGAAAAATTATGAAGACAAATATATTTTTGGAAGAATAAATGAGTATCTAAGTTACTCCAGTATTACAAAGTATATTCACAAACAACTCAGTAATCTAGGTGATCTGCATAGTTCCAAATAAGTATCTTAATAATTTTAAGTACAAAATAATAGTGGTTACAATCAAGTAATTCATTGCTAATCACCATCACTGCCACATGTAATGCAGTATTTAGGTATCACACATCACTCGTATACACACACATACCACATCCTGCAACCAACAATCACAGCATGTATACTTTTCAATGGGGAAATAATATGAATGAAAATAATTGTGGAAAGTACCTATTTTACCTACCAGCCTATTTCATTCTGCTTTAAGTTGGAATGTTTTATATACATACAACTGTCGCATCCATCCACCCTCCGAATGAGTTATAAGCAAGAAAGAAACTAACCCATGACGTGACAAAAAAAAAGGGGGGGGGGATGTTACATGAATATAAATGAGAAGTAGATACAGAATGTCTCCAACAATGTGCCTTTTTGCTTTGTTTTCTGAGTAGCGAAGAGGACACAATTGAACAGACCTTGGTATGGAAGAGTGTTTCTTAATTCCCAAAGACTATTCATTGAAGGAGTCATACAATCCAGAGGCAAGTGTAAAGTAAGGGAAGAGAGTATATTTTTATATGATTACAACTTTCTAAAATCCAAACCCTGAATATGTCATGTGTTCTGTGATATCCATTTATGAGTGCTCTATGTTTATATATCATCATTTCAGCAGATAACCCCCACCCTCCAGTACTTTATCCATCAACCTGGCACGACCACCTGGGGTATCTTTGTGCAGCTATTGTCAATGAACTCCAACCCTCTGACCAGCACATTAAAGCTCATATAGGTACTCACCCTGCAAACTGGGCACTGCCAGTGACTACTGCTGTCTCTAAGCCTGTACTCATCAGACAAACACTTGGAATGATACACACGAAAACACAGGTCACATATCAACACCTCTCCAGGCAAATGGCATTCAAAACAATACCAGTCATGATTTTCTGTTTCCCAGTCCTACAAAAAATACAAAATAATTTCGTATGACATTTTGTCAATATCTGCAATGACTAAGAACAAAATTGAAACTAAAGTCCATCAGAAGTTAGGCATCATAAACAATTTTAGACATTTTAAAACAAGAGGGAAAAATATCTACAAATTTGCTTCTTTAAATTTTAAATTCTTCCCTAAACAGTATTAATATTCAAAATATCTTAAGGTGATTTGATAGCAAAACCAGTTCAAAAATAAGTCCAAAGCCAATCGTAGTCTAACATTATCTTCAATTTTAAAAACATAATCTATGGAATGATTTCTTCAATAAACTGAATATCCCAAACAAACATCTATACCTTAGTATTTCAAATAAACAAACCTCTGTTTTGTTCTGCTTTCTAGAAAAATATAGTAAGTACTTAATTAGCTCACTGTTGAAACAGAGAAAATAGTAATAAATGGTGATGCTCACTATTCTTATCTTCTCATCCATGGTATTGGATGCTTTATTGAAAATAACCATTAATCAGAATGTCCATGTTCTGATAGGTTGTCAAATTTTCAGGGTCTGTTGAATTTGGAAAAATAAATTGAAAATGTGAAACTAAAGGTTTAATCACATTCTCCAAAGGACATTGCCATAAAAAAACTTAAAAGGAAGTAGGCTTATTTTCTTACTTGGACTATTCCTGGAAATAAAAGAACATAACTGCAGTAGGTTTTCTTCAACATTTTCTTTTTTGTTACACTCTTTTTGTACAGCCAATACCATTTAAACATAAACAGGAAGATGTTATAAGTCCTCTTAATTTAGAATTCATTCTTCATAAATGCCACTCTTAGCTTCTGTCAAAAAATACCTGTTAAGAGTGATGGATTCATTCTCAGCTTTCTTTTGTAGATGTGGTAACTAAGTGAACAATGGTTTAATCCACATTCAGTGTAATCAAGGCCACTGCCAATGATTTCCAAACTTGAATTTCCTGAATTCCAAACTTGGGTTCTGCCATCGTTTGTCTTTTTTATAAATCACTGTCTACACTCTGTTTCTGAAACTGAACGGGTTTCTTATGTCAATTACTCCCCCATTAAATGGGCTTCAAATAAAACACTTGTTTAGCAGGCAGTAACTCCTTTAGCGCCTACGGCTGAAATGTACTAATTACTGCCTGAACATATGACAGGGCTACTATCAACACCTTCAAAAGGGAGGAGAGTCACTAATGTTCCAAAATTCACTTTCAGAGTCATGGCTACAGCACATTGGCAAACTCAGCAAAAATGTAAACTTTTCAGTTTACTTTTTCTTCAGAAATCATGGTCTTCATTGACCAAAGCAATAAAGAAAAACATAACCATTTCTAGTTATTTGCTGCAGATAGATATACTCTATAAACTTACACTGGAGTAATTTCAGTCAAACTGCTAAACAAATCGTAAGATACTGATGAGACATAAAACAATGATGTGTGCATGGTAGGAAAAATACCTATCTCACCAAGTTTGACATAGTGGCACTGCAGAGACATAATATATGTAGTGCTTGGCTGTACGAAACAATAGTCACTGTGTACCCATTTCACAATGTTCACACTTGGAGTGCGGGTGAATTTCCCGCCAAAATATAAGATGGCTCTGTCTTTTGGTTTTGTTCCATCCACCAAAAGGGTGGATTACAAACAAATATTTGGTAATACGCAGTTACAATCGGCCCGAGTTTACACGTTTCCCGCACTCCACGGCAAATCTATATGAACCGAGTTAAAGACGGCTCCCGCGGAGTACGCGCAATTCACGCGAGCCGACTTAACTCGTTTCCCGCACTCCAAGTGTTCATATGTAAGCTGCTATTTTAATATTTATATCAAAAATCATTGATAAATTAGGTTTGAGTGGAGATAAGATACTTTGCTCTATTCTGAACTAACAGAACTCTTGCCAAGTTTAAAACAAAATATTTCAGAATATTTTTTCATAAGTTGTTCAGAAACATCTCTTTGAGGCTTATGTTTAACTCGTTATTAACAAAAGAAAGTGCCAACCTTCATCATTTGAAATTTTTTACATTAATTCATCTTCCTGTAGTTCTTAAAATGGTGATTACTAAGTAAATTAAGAGAAAAAAGCAAGAGTATAACTTTGGTGCACAGCTCTAAAGCTCTAGCCTCCCCACTTTACCTCTGACCCTTTTCTATTCCTTTCTCTCCCATCCACCCATAAAATGAGATGAAAATGGATCTTTCCTCATTGGGGTGTTTAATAGCAGACCTAGTTTTCATAACAATTACAGAAATAAAAATATAATTCAAATGAAATAAAAGTAGAGAAAATTTGGATATACTATTTACATAAAGGCATATGAATAACTCCATTATCAGATATAAGAGGTATGGTCTGGGAACATACCTGTTCATTCTTTTAATCATAGCAATAGCTGTTTAGAATATACAAAACACACAGAAGTTCAAAAGTTATTACATTCTAAACCCAGGGCACACTTTTCTGAGGTATAAATTACATAAGCATGTTTAAGATAGGCAGAGTTGCCTACAATTTCTCTTTTAGTAAACAGAATTAATTTACATAGTGCTCTAATAATAATGTATGCCCAAAAGCTAATCCTGCATTTTCCTGGATTTTACCAGATGTCACCAACTACTCTCATACAGCCTGATTAGTAGCATAATATGTGAAATGCCACTTCAATACTTGAAGAAAAATTTTAAAAAGCAAACCTATTAGCAAAAAATCCCCAACTAGAAGCAAAGTAAAGACAATATGGTGTTAATGAACAATTCTAACAAGAGTTAACTAAACTAGCCTAAAGAAAGATAGAAATGTAGTATTTTTTAAAAGCAGATTTAAAGTAAAATAACAGTGCAAAATTAGTTCACCTTGTTTGGGGTTGCTGTCCTGGAGAAAGGCTGCATACTGTAGGCCTTTCAAAATAAAAACAAAATAATCTTGGTCTCTCTACTATAACTTTGCTCAATATCAGGCAATACACAGAGCTAAAGGGATTTCATAGAGGATCAAACTGTTTATTATTTGCTATATGACTTACATTATTTTGCAGATGATATCAACTGATAATCTATGAATGTACTAATCATGAATAAAAAGACAGTAGCATACAAATTCAAGAGTCATTACTAGTTTAAGAGGAAACTTTTGATACTAACACAAAAGCTACAAATGGACAGAGAAAAATCTTTCTATTTAGAAAGTCATGTGCCAGGAAAGCTATCATAATGTTAGAAAACATTGTAGTAACAAATAAACTCGGTGCCATTATAAATTTCATTAAGACCATGAATGTGTGTCTTTTTTTTTTCTGAAACTGATGGACTTTTTAAAGTTGGGAGTGATGAATGTAAACATGGTAAACTCCCTACTTAATTATGGTGTGAAATAGACACAGAATGTCTTCAGAACCTAGTAGAACACATCCCAACGTTTAGAAGCAGCCTGCTGCCCTATGTCTGTCACCATTTATAGCATTTGATTAAGATTCTGAAGTCAGACTGGCCCAAATCCTGGCTCTAGCACTTACAGGTTGTGTTATCTAGGGCAGAATACTTAGCTTCTCTGTGTATTATTTTCTATCTGTAAAATGAACAAAACAATAATGCCTAGTATATAGATGTGTTGTAAGGATCAATTGAGTTACTATGCTCAGTGAGTTATTAAGATGATCTGCTTGCTATAGTGCACAAAACAGGAATCGACAAGTCACAAAATGATGTGACACTTGTAATTATACATTACGGATTTCTTCAGGACTGTAAGCTCATTATGACAGCTGACTCTCACAACATTTCTGTAAATTAGAGGGACCAAGTAATAGTAAGTCAGTTCAGAGATAACACTAAAGAGAGAGTGTTCATGGGAGAACTGTCTGTAACAAGGGTCTCCTAAACTATAATCCACTCTCATCATATTCAAGAGATTCTAACTTTTAAAGTGATTCCCTATTTATATGCAATGAGCAAATAAATCTTAAATTATCAAATATTTGTTTGATGTGTTTTAACATAAATATGACATAAAATTAATTCTCTATAATTCAAAGTTTAGTTTAATTCTGTTAATTAATTTAGTTAATCACCGAGAGGTAAGAATGTAATGATTAAATATTTACAATAATTTTAAATAAGAATATTACAACACTGCTTAGAGAAAGTGAATTTAGACAGAAGGGAAAAAAGCTCTCAAACACACATACACACACACACACACACACACACACACACACACACACACACTCACGAAGCTGAAAAGAATAAAACAGAATAGCATAACCCAAAATATTCTACTGAATAAAATGGACATTCTGTACCACAGCAATAATAATTTCTAGGTGTAAGTACTAGTTTGAATATACATAGAACCACAGTATAACTGGCTGCTCATTAATTAAAAAGCACCAAATACTTAACACTTTACTTAGTAAATAAACAATAATTTATATTTGTCTGAGACAGGTAATGGATCTTTGGAAAAAATGTGTAGTCTGCACATAATTAACATAAATGTAACAAAATATATTTCACTTAAAAAAATCAAAGGTATCCCAAGGGGCATCCAGCTTTTTATATTTAGGGTATTAAAAACATGATTGATTAATTTATGACAACTATATTTTATAACAAGGAAAATGCAAAGACCTAATTTTTAAAAAAATCTTACTTCACTATACTATATTTATGAAGTGGGCTGACAGAGTCAAGCTGCTTTGAATTCAGCAGGCTCTCAATATTTTTTTCAAGAACAGAGCAAGGGCACTCCTTGCCATGACTGTTTAATGGTGTGATTTCTGAAGAATAAGACATAAGTCCAATCCTACCTCTTATCAAAAAGATGTGAGCTTAGCTAAGTTTCAATAGGTACACAAGCCACAGTTTCTTCTAGATTGGTCATTCTGAATCAAGATAAGCAGATGATAACAGAGGAAAAAAGTATCTTGCCCCTGAGTAAGTTAAGACTAAATCCATTTACACCCAATATAAGATGTTAATCTTTTCAAGAAACCACAAAATATGTATTTTCATCAATTATGCTTCTTTAAAGGTATCAAAACCTTAAATTAATGAAAATAAAAAGCAAAAATATAGATTGAATTCTACCTTTTCATTTAGGCCTACTTTAAAAGTAGTCTGAGGTCCTGCTTATTGGTGGGACAAGCTTGATTATATGTAAAGTAAGTACTCAAACTGAAGCAGGGCATAATAGTCAAGACTATTATGAGCTCATCTTTGCAGTTGCTCTTGCATCTTACAAAACCAAACTGGTAGAAGGCTTCTAACTGAAAATGCAAGCTGTGGTTCCTACAATGATACATTATTCTTGAAGTAGTATGAAGTATAAAAAAAGAAATGAGACCCTGAGTTGGGATTTGGCAGGTTAAATAAAGGGAGTAGTTGTTTCATAGCAAACATTTTTTTAGACTTTTAAATCATCCTCTATACTGGTGACCAAATTATTTAATGTCAGATCAAAAGTATTTGCCAAATAATAGGGTAGAGTCATAGCTTTGTGCCAGGAACCATGAATACATTTGGAAATCATCATATTAATATTAACTGCCTCAAATTCAAAATACATATTTGACATGTAACAATAAATACCTTTATAAGACCGTTCTATCTTTAGTGAGCCCTTAACTCATAAGAAATTGTGTTTATTATAAAAGGAGTTACTAAATACCAAACTTAATTGAGCCCAGCAAATGGTAAAATTCTGCCCAAGAAATGTATTTCTTAAGTTGTTAGACTAAAGGACATTTAATACTGTGATCAAATGTGGATTAAATATAGCCGTTCATGTATATTTCTTTAGAGAAAGCAGATAGTGAAGCAATCTATCAGAACTTGTAATTCTTTTTTAAAAACTAAAAGAAAAAAACCTTGATATATCCAAACATTAAATGGTCAGACATCAGAAAGTTTCCTTCTGTGCCCTGGTCTACTGGCCTTTTACCAATATAATTTCAAAAGTTATGAAAATCATCTCTGAAATAATTATTTGGATCTGATTAGTGAATACTAATAACATACAAATCTGGAAGTTTAAGATGACCACAGAAAATTTACAAGAGGTTTCCAGGTTTAGCAAGTTTGTCATTTTAAAAATTGGTTGGTACATACACTTTTCCTTGTTTATTGACTAATATTTAAGCTAATTATTTAAATTGAGAGTGCCTTCATTTTTAATAATTACATTTTTATTCTACTATCTCCAACAAACATATTCAAAATAGCACCATAAAGATGCTTATCTCTTGCCTAATTTTATCAGTTTCTCCAAAAGAACTATCACTTTAATAGGCTGCAAATGGTAGTTGAGACTAGCATTGCAACTTGTCTAAAAAGCACTACAGTCTAAAAGGAATCTCAGTACAGTTAAAGCCACCATCTTTGACCTATGCAAGTGTCTTCCTCTTGAACAGATTATAATCATAACCTGACCTATTATTAGAGTTAAACTTATATTATATCATTGCTGGATTTAATAAAAATAATTTTGCTCAAGCTATGAATATTTTTTTCAACTGAATCAAGTTTTAAAAATACGCACTGTGATGGGGTGGCAGGGGTGGTGGGGGGAAGGTAGCAGAGGTGAAATAAAAATGTGACACCAACAAACTCTTTGCTCAACTACAGTTGAGTGGCATAAAGAAAACCGTACTCTTGCCTACCTGGTCTTTCTTACCATAATTGTGAAAGAGAAGACAAGGAGAGTATAGCCTCTTTGCTAATACAAAGTATCTCTTAGGATGTAACTTGTAGGACTTATCAAGAGAAATCGACTTTTTCCACACCTCTGAGATACTATTTTTAGAGGCTATAGAAGGAAAAGAAGTGCTTTACTACCCATTTTTTCAAATGACAGAACTTCCCTGGCTGAAGAATATTTACAACTTTGAATTAAAAATGAATAACCAAAACATTCTATACAGCTTACATATACAGACAGATATATATATATATATATAAATATCTACTTGACTTTTTTCTTCTTTTGATATTGAGTCAGAAGTTGACAAGATGAATAATAATGTAAACCTTTCAAATTAAAAAGTCAAGTTTTTAGAGGCAACGTATTATATATAAGGTAGAGAAACTATAAAGGAAGGTCCTAGATTCAAATGCCAGCATACAGGGCTGTCACTAGCCCACAGAGTTCCTTTGTGCAAATCTGAAAAGGTGACCCTTCCCTAAGACTGGTTTTGCTAGAATAAGACACGTACCTGCCATAAACTAGAAAACTGCTGAATAAACATACAAGCTTATGATGTCTGAGAACTGAGTGTGACTTCCTAAGTTGTATAGTTGACAACTGGCTCCATACATAGTAGCTCACATGCATGGGCCACACAGACCATAAACAAAGAGCTGGTAAGTGTGAGATGATTGTGTTGTGCCAAGTGTGACACAGTAATGTGTCCTTCTAGAGTATACTAGGGCATGACAACTGCAGCACATGACAGCCCCTGGGTAGCCAGGTGGTATACCAGCCACAGTTATGAGATGCAAATATAATTAACCTCATCATTTTATAGTTAAACCTTAAATATAGATCCAGTGAATGTCTATTATACATATAAGACCTTACCTCTTTCTGCTACCTCTGAATTTTTAATATTTGCATATTTTTATAAACTAGGCACAACTTTTATATACTCATTTATACTTACATCATACATGCATACTCAGTATAAAAATGTGAATAAGAACCAACATGAATTAATAAAATCTGTAAACTGGTTGGTTGATTTACATATAAGATTTCATCTAGAAAAAAAGAAAAGGATGGTGCTATAAATATATGCAGTAAGTACATGTAAAAATAAAAAAAGAATATATAACCTAATGCAGTGGTAAGCATAACTCAGTAACTGCTCATTTCATTAAATTGAACATGGAAATTTCAAATTGAAGAGGAAGAATGCATGTGGGAAAAGCAAAAATCTAAAAAGTAAGGAGAATTAAAATCACTTTTTCATTTTTATGAAAAAAATGTACATGATCCACAAACCAAAATCCTGTGGATTAAGTTGTACTTACTACTGGTTAATTACTATATAAATCTCAGAAATTATCAGGATAGCTTTCTATACTAAATCTGTACATACCAAGTATTTGGGGATTAGAAATTTTATATTAACTGGATTATTCTGACCATATAATAAACTATCCATTATCAATGGCCCTCCTGTTAATCCATGATGTAAACAAATATTATTACTATGATTTGACATCTGGAGTTTCTTTACTGGCAACAAAACTGTACTTTTCTATATGAAAGTCAACAGAAAAATTATTCTGATATAAACATTTTTTACTTCAGTTTATAAGAACACTTCTAGTGTGCAAATGAAATGATACCAGAGAAATTCACCATTTTCTTCTTCTGTGTTTTAGTTGTAGAAAACGTGAATTTTATTTCCTGAAACTTTGAAGGCATAAATTAAACTGACAAAAACAACGTTAAAACTGAACAAGTTTGTAACTTGTAGCTGCCTCTGTGGCCCAGCCCTCCACAGGGATGTGCTATGAGTTTACTGCGCAGAGCTGACCACTGAGAAATGTGTTGCTGGGTCACCTGATGTAGAGCCAGGAAGGAAAACACAACTCAAAGGTTTTGGGAAATGTTTCCACAAAGAACCAATTTTAAGATCTTGTGTCATTTTTTAGAGAATTCATGATAGAAACAATCTCAAAATACTTAATTACAAAATCCATTCCTTTCAGAAACTAAAATAACTCATTTCTATTAAATTTGAAACATATTGTCTTAAATGATATTGTTGCAAAAAGTAGACCTTTAAAATCAAGGTGTTAGAAATATCAAAAACGAATGAGGTAGGAAGATGGAAATTTTACACCAAATCAGTCTTTACATAAGAAAAAAATTGTACTTCTTACATGACTCTGAGTATAGAATTATATACTACAAGGAAAAATATTAAAATATAACTTAATAAGAACTAAGTAAAAATATAAAGAAAATTAACTATCTTTCCTATGATTTCTGTCAAGTGCCACAAAACACACTCAACTCACAGAAATCAACGGAAGACACTAGCCAGAGGCGTCTAACATTTGGAACCTTGTCAGCTGCAAACCCTCCTGAAGCATGGCTCTGGGCTCTGACATCATCCAACCTGAGTAAGGTATGTCCCCGAGAAGCCAGTCTGTTCCGCCCAATGTGTCCAGATGGCATCAACATTATCCTGCACTGAAACCTTTTTTACTAATATTTACTAAAGAAAATATTTAGAAATACCACGAATTGTGTGTATATTAAAAGGGTTTTGCTTGTTTTGTTTGAATGTTTCAGATTCAAGGTAAACTACACAGAAAAGGCAGGGTCTTTGTAAAAGTGGGTTTTCTCCTAGTAAAGAAACACAGAGGAAAAGTATCCACCCTACCAATGTAGGTCCTTAATGTTAATAAAAAATGTTAAAGAGAAACATTACTAAACTGCTAAAAATGAGTTTCTAAAGGTTGTATTTAAATAATGTTCAAAAGTTAAAAGTCAGCTTGTCCAAATTTATCAAATAAAACATACTTACAATTTCATCTCCTGGCAACCAATATCCTTCTTGTTCAATACCAGCTTTTGAACCTTTGCAGCCCACAGTGAGAGTTTCGACAATAAGACCATCTTTCACAGCCAAGCTCAGCTGACGGGTGGTCTCTTTTGGATGCATACCGTGGACTCGAGACATGTACCTGAACACAGAGAAAAAACAAACTTAAAAATCTTTTAGTATAAAACATAAAAATGCATAACAATAAGAAAATAGAGATAATTTATTTTATTATTACTTGTACTTATCAGAGCCCTGCTGAAAGAAGGACAGGAGGAGTCCTGAATACTTAACTCTTTCAATTATCACGGTATTTTAAATCTCAATCTTATTTTTGTATAGTTAGAGGAATATCTGTTCAAAATAATACCAAACCAGCAATATAAATCACTTAACAGATTTTAGTCATACATCCCATGTAGTTTTAGTCTCTGGAGCAGTTACCACTAACTTCCACTGTACAGATTCTAAATTTAGAATTTTATAAACTCCAGCCATAAAACTTTAGAATATAAAATGCTTTTATTCAAAACTTAGGAAATTATGCCAAGCAAAACATAGAAATTACATCAGTGGTTCTCAACATCTAAAGAAAACAATGCATGTTGTGATTAATAAAGCAAAAACTAGTCTTCAATAAATTATATTCTGGACTGGATCACTAAAGCATACAAGCTCTCCCTGCTTTACAGTTACGTGTCATTTTTTAAAATGTAAAAAAAAAGTAGTATTTCAAATATACCTCAGACCACAGAGAATAATACTGGAGATACTGGAGATTCCCTTGTATCCACCAATTATACTAAACTCATGTTAACATTCTGACATATTTGCTTCATATCTTTTTTGTGTGTGTATTTTATTTTAAGGAAATAAAATGTTAAAGATTCCATTCCCCGGCAATCAAACCCTCTACCAGTAATATACTGGACATCAGAGTCTGTTGGGGATCCAGAAACAAAAACATCATGGCACAAATCAGGCCAGAGAAACATTCCAAGTTGGTAGACCCGGTCGGGGCCAACACCTACACTTCTCAAGAAAATTAAGTAGGACAAGAATTTGTATCAATTTATCGGTCATTTATATATCAGCATTCCACACAAATCATCACTGAAGAACCTTATAAACTCAGAGGACAAATTTCAACAACAAAAAAGCAGTAAGCCCCATCAATGGCAAGCATTCTGTTTGCAGTTTATAGAAGACTAGAGGCCCAGTATACGAAATTTGTGCACGGGGAGGGTCCCTAAGCCTGACCAGCAATCAGGGATGATCAGGGCCTACCAGCTGCCAGCCGGGGCCATCCTTCCGCGGCTGTTGGCTGGGGCCTTCCTTTGTTCCACGCCGCCCCCTGGTGGTCAGCGTGCCACCCCTCCCCTCCCCCACCAGGTGGTCAGCACACATCATAGCAAGTGATCGAATTCCCGGTCTCCTGGTCAAACTCCCAAGGGACACTTTGCATATTAGCCTTTTATATATATAGATAACAAAGTGTCTGGTTTCTCTACAAATGCAGTTAACTGAAGGGCTGAGAAGAAAGAGACAAGGAATTATGGTGAACCAAACAGTGGCCCTGACAAACCAGATTTGCAGTAATAACAAATGGGACCAGAAGATGAAGGTGAAGTTAATCCACAAATACTGACTGTCACCTTTGCTAATAGTCAAGATGATAAAGATCAACACTAACAAAAATAATCAATTGAAGTTTCGAATGTGGGGAAAGGAATTACAGTGGGGCCTTGACTTACGAGTGTCCCGACTAACGAGTTTTTCGAGATACGAGCCATCTCTCGGCCGATTTTTTGCTTTGAGTTGCAAGCCAGCTTCAGATACCCCACCGCTAGTTGGCGCAGCGAACGTCACAGTGAACGCCACAACATCAGCCCAGCATCACGTGTCTCACTCGTTCACTTTAAGATTTGACATACGAGTAATTTGATTTACGAGCTCCCTCACAGAACGAATTAAACTCTTAAGTCAAGGCCCCACTGTAAGCCAAAATGAAAATGTGCTAATATCCTCCCTGTTCACTGTAGGGAGCCAATAGACATTATCATAGGAATTAAGTATACTATACAAACTTATAAAGACAGCCTTTAGAACAAAAATTCAAACCTTCCAAATTATCTGAAGAAACCCACAAAAAAACACATTATGTAGTAAAATAAAAACAAAACAAAACAGCAGCATATTAAATATGAGAGGACCAAAACCAAGTACATTTGTCTTTTTAATAAATACAAATTGGTCAAACTCAATAATTAAAAACATACTGAATCACAAAACAAAAATTTCACCATCTACAAGAGACACACTTATAGTGACAGAAATACTGAAAAAGAATGGGCAAAGGCATATCATAAAAATACAACCCAAGTGAAGCAGGGATCAACACTGCAAGTGGGAAAAAATTATTATTATTTTTTTAAAAGGCACGTAGGGAATAGACAGTTTTAAAGCAAAACCTGGAATAAATAAAGAGAATACTGACAGGAATATAGGATTATGAGACTTTAATTTACTTCTCTCAGTTCACAAAAACATTAAGTGAACAAAATTAAGTATGGATACAGGAGAGCTTTAATTAAGTTTATTAATTAACAAAACAGATCTAGTTGAATTTATACTAAAATACCAAAAATATCTTCAATAAATCCAAGAAACAGTCATTAAAACGGTGCATAAAATCAGCCACAAAATGACCTTAATAAGATTTCCTAAAGTAATAGACATTTGCTAGTCACCATGAAATAAAACCAGATATTAATAACAAAACTAGAAAACTCACATAAACCATTGAATCAAAAAGATTTTTTTAAATTACAAAAACGGTAATTAAAACGCTAAAGCAGTGCTAGTTAAAGAGCAAAAATTACAGAACTAACCATATTAATCCAAGAGGTCCTTCTTAGAGAAGATTTAGAGATATCATTAGCTAACCTAATCAACAATGAAGAAACAAAGCACAAAAACATAGAACTAAGAAATGTATAACACATCATATATAAAAAGGAAATTTTAAAATACTAGTCATAAGCAACTACTATGTTAAATTCTGTGCAGAAATATGATTTTCTAGGAAAAAATAAATGACCAAAGCTTGCCCACAGAAAAAAATAGAACACTTAAAAAGGACAATTTCCAAAGAAACAGAGGATGTTGACAAAGAGCTTTCACAGAAAAACTCAAGGTAGGAACATATTCACAAGGTAATTCTATCAAACTTTTAATGACCAGACAACTCCAATGTGATTTAAACTCTTCCAATACATAGTAAAGAAGGAAAGCAAGGGATCTAGCATGAGAGTGCTAAGAAAAACCCACAAAAAAGGCACAGAAAAAGAAAACTAGTGTCCCATAGGAATGCTGGTATAACAAATACTAAATGAAGTATTTAAGTGTACAGTACAATGTTAAATATTAACATAAATTAATAAATGTTAATACATTCAATTATCAAAAAAATATACCATAACCAAATGTTTAGTTTCAGGATTTCTAGGAATACTTATTTTTAAAAATCTAGAAATATCATTCATCTCATTAATACATCAGAAGTGAGAAATCATGAAGATTTCTATACATATGGAGAAGGTATTTAGTAAAATTCAACATCTAGCCTCTAACAAATAGGAATGAGTAAACAATACTTTCTAAACCGATCAGGAATATTTAAAGATGTCTTTTAACACTCTAACAAAGGTAACCAACATAGGTAAAATAGAGAAAGAAATGGGGCATAAAATTTGTTTAGAAGTTAAAATTATCATTATTTGCAGATCACATATCAAGAAAACCCAAGAACATCAGCTGATATGCTATTTTAAATAATCAAATAATTTAGTCAATTATTTGTTTGGGTACAAGCTAACATAGTAAAAATTAACAACATTCATGTATACAAATAAAAAAATTAATTAGGAGGTTTAATATAAGACAAGACCCCAATCATCTACAACAGCAGTAAGAAAAATAAAATACCCAGTAAAAAATAGAAGAAATGACATGATCTGTGTGAAGAAAAATCTGAAATTCTGACACAAAAGAAAATAAACAAATGTAAAGACATACCTGTATTTGGATGAAAAACAACAAAATTCAATTGCCTGTAAGATTAAGTAAATACCACCACAAAGTAAGCAAGTTGATTCTAAAGTTCTATAGAGAATTCAACAAGAACTTCCCAAGACAATTCTTTATGAGTAATATCATATTGAAAAACATTACAGAACCAAAGTAATTAAAATATTGTGGAACTAGTGCATGGAGAACAGACCAATGGAACAAAACATAAAACTTAGGAAGAGACCCAAATATACATTTGAATTATAATAAAAGTGGAATTTCAAATTGTGGATGAAAAGACTGATTAATCAACTCATGGAAATTGGGACATGGAGCTCACTAACTTGAAAAAAATAGAGATGGAACCCTACCCTAGTCTGTACCCACAAATAAATGTCAGATTTACTGGAGGATTGAGCTTGATTGGAACTACATCACTGGTGAGATGTAATTTAGTACTACTTCTATAGAGGAAAGTGTGGTAATATAACAATTCCTCTCCTAGATATTCATCCTATAGATACACTTAGACACATGTGAAATAATAGACAAGGTAGGAAATTCATTTTAACATTGTTGCTAGCAAGAAAAGATTAGAAACAATCTAAACATGCATCTTAGGAGACTGGCTAATACTATATAATAAAAGGCTAATATGCAAATCGACCAAACAGTGGAATGACCAGTCACTTTGATGTGCACTGACCACCAGGGGGCAGATGCTCAATGTAGGAGCTGCCCCCCAGGTAGTCAGTACGCTCCCACAGGGGTAGCACCGTTCAGCCAGAAGCCCTGAGCCAAGCTCACAGCTGGCAAGCACAGCAGCAGTGGCAGGAGCCTCTCCCACCTCTGCAGCAGCACTAAGGATGTCCAACTGAGGCTTAGGCCCACTCTCCCTGGGGTGGCGTGGGCCTAATCCTTCAATCAGACATCCCTCAAGGGCTCCTGGACTGCGAGAGAGCACAGGCCAGGCTGAGGGAACCCCTTGAGTGCATAAATTTTGTGCACCGGACCTCTAGTTTATAATATAACCATACCAAGAATTATTACATAATCATTCAAGAAATGGAG